TTTATCCGCTGGTTCATTCCCCAGATGGCCACTGCAATAGCAACAGCTGGCTGGGCTGAAGCCAGGAGCTTCTTCTGGGTCTCCCATGTGGGTGCAGGGAGGGGCCCAAGCACTTGGGCCATCCTTTGCTGCTTTCCCAGGCCATTAGCAGGGAGCTGGATCAGAAGTGGAGCAGCCAAGAGTAGAACTGGTACCCATATAGGATGGTGGCATTGCAAGTGGTGGCTTTACCTGCTATGCCACAATGCCAGCCCTGCCATGAACAAATTTTTTAAAAAATATTTATTTTATTTATTTGAAAGGCAGAGTTATAGAGAGAAAGAGGGAGAGACAGAGATATCCTCCATCACCAAAGCCAGAAGCCTAGAATTCCATCTGGGTCTCCCCTGTGCATGGCAGGGGCCCAGGCTGCCTTCCCAAGAGCATTTCCAGGGAGCTGGATTGGAACTGGTGCTCATATGGGATGCTAGCATCACATTGGCCCGAAATTTGGAGAGCATGGGTATAGTGCATATCAACATACATCCTGTGGCCCTCTGCAGAGCCACACACCATTGTAAAATCTAAGGTGTTTTATCTCCCAAGAACCAGGGTTTGTCTCCTTTGGGATGACAGAGGTCCTGTTGAGAATGCATACTGTGGAGGACTCCCTGAAGGTTTGAGTTCAAAATCTTCATCCAAACAGAGCAACAAACAGAGGAATAGCTAAGACGACGTGGACGGGTAGGCATTTGGCCTGGCAGTTAAGATGCTAGTTGGCCTACCCATGTCTCCCACTGGAGTGCGTGGACTTGATGCCCACTCCAGCTCCTGATTCCAGCTTCCTGCTACTGCGAATCCTGGGGGCAGAGGCGATGCCACAAGTAGTTGGGTCCTCGCTTCCCATGTGGAAGTCCTGCTTATGAGTTTCTGGCTCTTGGCTTTGAATCTGTTCCAGCCTTGCCCTTGGTGAGCATTTGGGGAGTGAATCAGTGGAGGGGAGCTCTGTTTCAGTCTACCTCTCGGTCTCTCTTTCAAACAAACAAATAGAACTTTGCCTCCCCCAAACTAAGCAAAGTCTCAACCCTGGAGGGAGTCGTGTGTTGCTGATCTGTTGTCCTCCTCTCTCCACCTTGATCTTGGGTGACAGTTGGGGACCTCACATCAAGTTCTGGGCTCCTCTGCCTTCCAGCTGGGTTTGGCCCATAGAAAATCCTCCAGGGGGTTGGAGGAGGGAAGAAGGAGAGTGAGACAGGTGTGTACGTTCTCCCGGGAGGCCACCCAGTCTGGCTGTGTCCAGCCGTCACTGCCGTTCTCACGGCACCTGCAGAGCGCCTCTGAGTTCTCTTCATGGATTCCTACTTTCTTCCCTTGGGACCCAGCTTTCAGCACCATCCTTCAGGGTCCCCTGTGCCACGTCTTGAGGATGATCTTACGTCCACTGTTGCTTGCTGTTCCCTGTTGGAACTCTCGATGGGATGGCTGGACGAACAAACTTCCCCAAAACGCGGCTGTCAGGGAGCCTCGGGAGCTTGAGAGGGAAGTTTAAGGTCCTTGGTCCATGTCTTTCTCAGAGTTGGGACTGAGGTAGCCCTTTCTCCCCTTGAAGGGGTAGCACTGGCTGGGATTCAGAGAGGTGAGGCAGGGAAAGCAGACGACCCACACTGGTTCCTGGAGGCCTGGCTCTACGTGGGATGATGCCAGAGAGGAGCTGATCTCCTGAAGTGATCCACTGGGCTTCCCATCTAAGACAGGGTTGCATCTGGGGACTCCTTCCCAGAGAAGTGGCAGGTGTGAGTGGATCCTTGATCCTGCACGTCCAGAGGAAGGCTTTTGGGCACAGTGGCTCCAGCTTGCTTCCTGGCTCTTCACTGTCTGGGCCACCACCCATCTCATGGTTGCCATGAGGATTAAATAAGAAAGTGCGTCTAAAGGTAGCCAGGCCTGGCCTGCAGCCAGTAGCAGCCCAGTCCCTTTTCCTAGCAAATGAGTCATCTCATGTTGGGGGCCCTCTGAGTCTCCTTTGCTGGCTCTGTCCCCAGGAGCAGGGAGCGACCAAATCCTACATGGTCTCAGCTCCAGAAGCCGCAGAGTGAAAGTAAGAAGCTGTTGTCATGGATGGGGTGGGTGGGCACATTACCCTGAGGCCTCCTAATCCCATTTTCTGCTTTTATGTTAATCCCCTTCCTCCTTCTGCCTGCCACACACTCAACTCCCAAGGCACTGACCTAGAGGGCTGGGCCCCATGCCCCTGATGGATGGCAGTGCTTCTGGTTGAGTGGGGGTGGGGTGGGATGCTGAAGGTAGGGGTGGGGACCATCTGGCCCATGGCTTGCTCTTCCTTGACCAACCTGGATGTTCTTCCAGGCCAAGGGACCCTGAAGGTTCCACTCACTAATAGCAATAGCCATGGCAGAGTCCGGCAGCATTTCCTAAACATGAACCGTTTGCTAACACTGACCTTTATGTCCATCATTTTATGCAATTCCCACAATGTTCCTGCCAAGCAGATATTACCAATCTGAGACACGCAGCTGGCCAACAGAGGCTCAGCTCACACTGTGCAAAAAGCAGACTGTCCAGGACTCCTGCCCAGCCTGGGCTGGCTCCAGAGCCTCATGGGGAACCACAAGAGGTGACACTGCTTCCTGGGTGTCCCCTGAGGCTGGGTGAATACTATTTCTTCTACCCACCACACTTGGGTATCACTGGCATTGCAGTGGAGTGGAAAGAATGAAGGCTTTGGAGGGGAAGGGAGGTAGGGCATGGTTCTGGCTTGGTTCAAGAGGCACCCAGGCAGTGAAGGTTCTCCAGGGCCACAGGTGGCTCCGCGGAAATGGACCAACACCTCTCTGTTCCCAGTTGCAAGTCCTGTTCCCTCTGCTCTTTGGGACAGAGCCTGGCTGTGGCTGTTCCCAGCATGGGGTCTGAGGAAGAGGTTGTCACCTGTAGCCACCCATGGGCTGGTCTTTCTACAAAGACTTCATGCGCTTTGAATCTCCACTTCAGCTTGTCCCACCCTCCAAGTAGGGAGGGGTCCCCGGACTCTCAGGGAGATGCCTCATGCTGCAGTCCCCCTCTCTGGAAGGCACACGTGGTCCTGAATGGGCTTCAGAGTTAGGGCTGGACTTGAATGCTCCCCAAAGCGCTTGGCGACTGTGCCATTCTCTGCTCCTCTCTGGGGACACTCCTGGCTGGGAAGCCGCTCAGGGTCAGAAGGCAGTGCTTGGATCATCTTTGGCTTTCTCTGTCCCCACCGAGTCCCTCAGTTGCTGGGCCCCTTGGTTCTCTCTGCTGACTGCAGCTGGGTCTGGAAGGCTTTTTGGACTGTGCAGATCCTGCCAACGGCCCCAGGCCCCTCCCGCAGTTCTCATAGCCCCACAGACTGGATGTCAGTGGGAGAAGAATTGTGAGCCAGGGAGAAATCTCACAGGGTGGCACCTGTTGCTGAGCCCTGATCGGGCTGAGGGCTGAGGGTGCAGAGCATGGCGGACTTGGGTGGGCTGCGTCCTAATGGGCTCTGATTCTCCCCTCTACTACAGTCCCAAGCCCAGGCACCAAGGATGAGATGTGGGGTGTGGGGTAGGGAAAGCAGGTGCGCTGTGGCCACCAGGAGTCTCTGATGAGGACTCCAGGCTAACAAGGCTCCTCAAACACTCAGAACTACAGGAACACCTTGTAGGGCAGACAGACCACTAACCCCATTTGCTGAGGAGAGAGCGGGTTCTGACTTAAAGTTTGGAGATTTTTTTAAAAAATAAATTTGAGGGGGGAGAGAAAGAGAGCACTCTCATCTGTTGGTTCAATCCCCAAACACCTGCAATGGCTGGGGCTTGGCCTGGGAGGAAGCTGGGAGCTGGGAACTCAATCCAGGTCTCCCATGTGGGTGGTAGGAAACCAGTTACGTGAGCCATTATCTCCCAGAGTCTACATTAACAGGAAGCTGGAGTCAGGAGCCAGACTGGGTATTCAGATACTCTTATGTGGGAAAGGGTGACTTTTTTTTTTTCTGTTTTGTAACATTTATTTATTTGAAAGGCAGCATAATGGAGAGTGAGGGGAAGACACAGAGGGAAACACACACACCCACACACAGGCATCTTCTATCTGCTGGTTCACTCCCCAATGGCTGCAATGGCCGGGGCTGGGCCAGATTGAATCCAGGAGCCAGGAACTTCAGCTGGATCTCCCATACAGGTGCAGGGGCCCGAGCACTTGGGCTGTCTTCCGCTGCCTTCTGAGACTCATTAGCAAGGAGCTGGATCGAAAGTGGAGCAGCCAGGACTTGAACCAACACTCGTAAGTGGTCTTAACCTGCTGCACTTGCACAATGCCAGCCCTGGAAGGGGGTGTTTTAGCTGGCATCTTAAATAAGTAGGCCAAATGCCTGCCCCTGATTCTTCTTTTTAAGGCCCTCGAAGGTTTGTGCACTTGCGAGCATCTCAGTAGCAGCAGGGTGTACTGGAGAGAGGACACAGAGTTTCCCATCAGCAGCCCTGCTCCCACCAGGGGCTCTCTCTGTGTGATCTCAGTGTGATCATGCCCTCTCGGGTCCTGTTTTCACTCTGGGCTTCCATATGCTTCTGCTACACCCCTAGCTCCCGAGATCCACAGAGTGGGGCTGGCCTTTCCCAACATGCTGCTTTCTGATCGAGAAATGCACCCACGACCTTGTGTGGCCAGGGCCAGCCCGGTGTTGGGCAAAGCTGACCCTCGGGAGGTTGCCTGGGTCTCCGATGACTTTTTCCTGAACTATCTCTCCAGCAGGGGATGGAGGTGCTTCACACCCCAGGTTAGGACTTCATTCGCAAGAAGCTTGCCTCCTGGGGTGAAAGGGTGTCCTCATGTGTTCTGTTGGCACAGGTATGTGGGGGCACCGGGGGGAGGAGAAACCACAGAAGCAGGCCTGAAAACACACTGTGGTGACTACATGCTCCATGGAACACGCACAGCCACAAACAGGCACTATGCACATAACCGGGAGCCGCTAAGTCACAGCCCAAGAAACTGGGGCTCGGGGAGAGTTTCTGCCATGAGACATCATTTTATTAACTGATCAATTTTTTTTTTTACAAAAATAAACAATTTAATGAACAAGAAGTACAAAAGCTTCTGCATATACAAACTCCAGGAGAGGGGGGGAGCCTGGTTTTGGCTGCTTTGCGGCTTTCACTGAAAGCAAATGAGGCAGAAAGGCCCCACCCCCGCCCCAGGTCCTGGCTCAAACCGCAACCTGCTCCTCCACCCTAGTCTCGGCTCAAATGGACGCGTGTGCCTCTGCCCCGCCCCCGCCCCCTGGGCCGGCCGGGCAGCACCCCTGTCAGGAGGCCAGAGACAGCGCCCCTAGGTCCAGGATTGCCCACACCCAGGAGCACCCCGAGTGTGTGCTCCGTGACCGATTGTCCCCATGCAGCCCCCGTGCACCATGGCACGCACAGCAGCGGCGGCGGCAGCAGCAGCAGCAGGGCTTCGGCTACATTCTCACACCACGAACATGGTAACGGGGCTGCCCCCGGCCCTGCCCCAGTGAGGGACATAGCCCTCAGCAGGGAGGCTAGCCTGAGCCGTGCTCACAGCCCAGAGAGTTTGGAGAGGCCCTAAGCTCCCCACCATGAGTCCTGGCCCGGGAGCCAGCGGTCCCACACCTAGGCTGGTAAACTCACATTTTAACATTTTTGCATTATTGCACGTTTGTCCTGGTCACATCTGTCTGTCTGGGATGGCAGCCGTGTCCGCAGGGGGTCCCAGGTGACATGCGGCACTGCTAGTGCAAGTCACTCCTGCCACAGGCAAGCCCAGCTGGTCAGCTGAGCCCTCAGCCTGGTCAGCCAGAGGTTCTCACATACGTGATCTTGTTGGGATCTGGGACGACTTGGCTCCATCCAGTCTTGAAAAAGACCAGCTTTCGACCTGGGGGCAGAGGTGAGAGGTAACAAGACGGGATGCTTCTCTCCCTACTGTCCTGAAGACACAGGAACCCCGTCCCATCATCTTGGCCTCTGTGCTGGCTTCCCATGAGGACCCACTTCCTGCCAACCCCCTTCTCCTGCAGAGCAGCCTAGCCACCTCCCTTGGAATGCCCTCTCCCAGCAGCACACCTGTCCAGGTGGTCTGGTTGGTGAGCACAAAGGCCCGGCACTGGGCGTGGCTCTCACAGACATCCACGGCCTCAGCCAGGTTGAACACGGAAAGGAGGCAGCTTCCATGGTGGTAGGATGGCCAGCAGCGATAGTCCTCCCTTGGGATGGTGCTGTCTGGGAGGCGCTGGTATTCTGTGGGTGGGGAAGGGAGCAAAATGCAAACACTGTGTGTCCAGGAGCAGGGACCAGGGCCACTTTGGGAAAAGAGCGGCAGGGCTCGTCTTCTAGGTGAAGGCTGAGGTTCAGCTGCTAGCGTGGAGGCGAAGGCAGTCACTGCTGCTGAAACTGGGCGATGGCTCAGGTAAGCCACAGCACAGACTTGGTTTTTGGAAGACACGCATCTCCCAGATCTCAGGGCCCACAGCTGGCTTGGACAGCACAGAATGCGGGCTGTGCGTGTGAGCCAGCTCCACACGCTGAGCCACCAGCTGTCCAGGCGGCCGGCTGAGGTCAGGGCAGTTTAGACATTGGAGCTGGGTTTCTCAGACTTCAGTGTGCACGGTGAACCACCAGGGGATCTTGTCAGAGTGCAGATTCTGATTGCGTGGGTCTGGGTGGGACCTGAGAATCTGCATTTCTGACCAGTGCTGCTGGTCTGCAGGCCATGCTTTGAGTCAGGAGGGTTCACAGCACCCCTCTCCTACTTTCCCCTGGCCTTGGGGAAGAGTGGCTAGTAGGATCCACAGTGGGGATGCAGCCAGGGATTTCTGAGGTTAAGAGAGGCAAGCGAATAAACCTAAAATGCAAAAACACCCGTGGCTACAGTGCTTAGGAAGGGGGCCGGAGGCAGACTCTGTGACCTCCCCTTACGCCTCTGAGAGCGCCGCAGAGGCCTGGAAACATCTCACCATCAGGAAGCGGCTCAGATGCAGGTCTCCTGTTCATTCTGTCTTCTCCACCGCCAGGGAGCCCTGGCCCTGGACCTCCGGCCACCCCGCCCTCCTGCCTCCTTCTCCTACCAGAGACTAGACCAAAGTCCAGGGCTGGCTGTGATTTATGGCCCCATAAACGGCGTCCTCGGGGACAGAGCCAGCCATTGTTCACCTCGTTAAACTTTATTTACAGGGCTAACGAGGCCTCCCCCACCCCTGAGACTGGCCAGGGCTCCTCGGGTAGGCAGGCTGTGGACCCCTCGCCCTGCCAACCATGGTCAAACCCCAGAGCTGGAACACGGGGACCACAGCCTGCAACCGGTGGCTGGAATTCTCCCCACCCCCAGGGCCAGGGTGGAAGTTCAGTGTGCAGCCCCGGCCAGCCCCAGGAGAGTAGAGGAAGGAAAGAGAAGCAAACACCCACCATGTTTCAGCGGTGCAACGGGAACTGCACTAATTGCTGTCCTACATCTCACCTGGCACTTAGTCCACATCAGAACTTTTTGCAGTGAGGCCCAAGGGGTAATTTGCTCAGAGTCACACCGCCAGTGCATGTGAGGTTTGGAGCCATCCAGGGAAGGGATGCCAGTGCTCACCCCCTAGTTGTTCCAGCTCAGCCAGAGATGTGACCTCCACATGCAGGCTGAACACTCGCATCACTCCAAGTGAGCTGACAGTGGCCGTGAGAGACAAGGGTTCCCGGAGGCAAGGCGGTCACTCACCCACCCCACCACCAGCGCTGCCCCGCCACCTGCCCCTCACTCACCGGCACTGCTGCTTGCTGAGGAGTTCTGCAGGTACTGCCCACTCTTGAACAGGTGCAACACCTTCTCCAGCTGGCTCAGGGTCTCGTCCACCCCCCAGGTGAGCTCTCCTGTGGAGTGCAGTGAGGCTTGGGGCACGGGGTCTCGGCTCCCAGTCTTCCCCAAAGTCGGAGGCCAGCTGCCCTGCCTTCCTTCAGCTGGAGCCTGGGTGCAGGTGACCAACTGGTGGGCAGGGAGGGACCTGACAGATGCAGCCCAGGTCTCTGTCCTGTTGGGGAGTGGCAGGTGATGGGAAGCAGGGGTGCCCTGGGCGCTCACCTGTGGCATTGACAATGCTGTCCAGCAGGGGCCGTAGTGAGGATGGGGCACTGTGGGGCAGGAGGTACGTGAAGAAGAACCTGTGGCACCAACAAACCAGGGCTCAGAATCCCGACTTTTGAAGACACGTCCCCAACTCTGGAGCGAGCCCTAGCCTGGCCAGGGGGACTGATCCTTGGCACCCGGGCACACCCTAGGGCATGCCATGGCCCCTCCTCGTATCCGGGGACTGGGCTTGGCGCTTGTGAAGATCACAGTTAACCTCGGACCAAACTGAAAGCCGAGGTCTGTTTGCCTCCTAGTTCCCCAAGACTTCTGCAAGGCCCAATCCCCAGTTATCCTGACACCAGGGTCCCAGCAGCTTTCTGGCGGGGGCCCAGGGAGGAGCTTCGCAGAGGTCCAGCGCTGGGGTGGGAAGAAGTGCCAGTCCCGCCAGCCCCTGGCTCTAAGAGCAGCACTATTTTGAGAAGCCTCCAGCTGCCACCCTGCAACCCAGATTCTCCATGCAATGTTCTATTTTTAGCCTCACCATCAGAAGCCTGAACCTCTCTTTCTTGACCGGGTGGCAGCGTTCCCCCAGTCTACAGCTCTGTCGGTCAAGAGTGCATCTCCCTGCCCCAGTGGCCTCTGGGACCCCATGCTGGCCCTCTCCCTGCCCTGGCCTCCTAGGCCGTCCTTCCCTCGATGACCTTCCTGCACTGGGGGAGGAGGTCACCTGTAGGCGTTGTAGAGGTTGCGCTTCTCATTCATGCCCTCGCACCAGCCCTGGGCTGAGCAAGGCAAAGTGAAATTCCTGGCTGGAAACTCAAGTATGCAGTCGGTGCTGCTTGCACATGGCGTCTCCTCCACGCGTGCATCATCCAGGTCTGTCACCTTCAGCTCCCCATCCACCAGCACAAACTGCCGAGGGCGGAAATCCAGCAGAGTGACCGAGCCCAGCGGGGAGTGGGCCAGGTGGTGGAGGAGACGGCCCAGGCTCAGGCAGATCTGAGGAGCAGACATGAGTTCTGTTCACGGCATCTGTCCTGGGTTGGGTGGGGGGTCCTGGCCTAAGCTGGGAGATTGGCCTTTTTCTTCTATAGGTCCCAGTGCTCGGTAAAGGCTGAGGCCAAGGGAACTCAGGGAAGAGGTCAGTGATCGTCTGTCAACCCTTGGCTGGTCCAACCCTGCAAACGTGGAGTGAGTGGGAAATGGGTAGCCAGGGTGGCGGTGGGTGTCTGGGAATAATGACCCTCTTCTTCGATGGTACATCTGGAGTGTGGCTTAGTTCAGGGTATGGAAATCAAGGGAAGGTCACGAGGACATTACACTCTTTCCTGGCTGCAGGACACAGGCCTTCTTGCAGCAGGCTGAGTGTGTGTGTGTACCGGTGTTTTATGTGCAGGGGTGCAGGGGCTGGGGCTGGGGGGTTGAGGAGGGCAGAAGCTCAGAGGGTTGGGATCCTCTGTGTCTTGCTTCTTGTTTTAACCCTGATGGCTGATGGTGGAAGCAGCCCATGCTCCCTCCCTCCCTCCCTGCCTCCCTCCCTCTCCCTTGGCTGAGGGCAGAGCTACTCGGCAGTGCTGGCCTTCTAAGGGAGAACCAGCCTGGCCACAGCCCCAGGGCTCCAGCCCTCCCCCCTGCTCACTCGGAACCGGTCCTCCCAGGAAGTCTGCAGCAGCTGGATCATTTCCACAGGGGCGCCCAGCTCCGTGATGGTGGTCAGGGTGTCTGGGATGTCCTCGCTGTCCTGGTAGCAGTAGCCATAGAGCTAGGGGAAGCCCAGGGCAGGTCATTAGGTCACAGGGTGGGGGCAGGGATCCCCAGGGATCCCCTAGGATCCAAATTCATGCCACTCTGATTCCACAACCTGGTTCTTTCCAAGAAGGCTATCTGCTAACACCCAGGCTCCCAAGTGATGACTGCCCCTCCTCCAGTCCCTGCCTATTCCTTATCGTTTCCACTTTCTGACAGCTTCATTTTACGCCCCCCCCCCCCCCCCAGTGCGAGGAAACCAGGGTTGATAAGAACAAAGTAACTTGGGGGCACATCCCTGGTGTTCTGTGCATGGGTGGCCGGGGTGGGGGTAGGGACATGTATCAAAGGGGGTGGGAGTGAGGGAGGTTCCAGGGAGACCAGCCACAGTGTGCCCACTCCTCATCAGCTGGGGCAGGCTGGGCACCACCTGGCTGGGCAGGGCTTTCTTGGAAGCACTGCTCTACCTGGCCAGCCTCTCCCCAGAAGCTGCTTGGCTGCTGGGGGCTCAGACGAAGCTGTGGGCTGGGAACACAAACGCTGAGCTGTCCAGGCTGGACCAGGGCAAGGCGAGAGCTTCCCGGTTGAGGGGAGGGCGGGAAGGACGTTAAGTCTATGACTAGATGGCCCTGTGCACTGTCACCTTCAGGCCAGCTCCATCCCAAGCCTTGACACGCCTCCGTCCCTCCCCAGGAGAGCCCTTTCAGCTGCCCCTGGAGCCAGCTGCCCAGGTCCAACTGGCCCCAGGAAGGCACAACTCTCCGTGGGTCATCCAGGTCCCTCGGCTGCGACTCGGGGGAGCCAGGGGGCAGCTGCCGGCACCTTCTTCTTCCCACTCTCTCCATGCCTCCCCCCAACATTGGCTCAGGGAGGCCCCAGACCTCAGTGGGGCGGGGGGGGGGGGGAAGGTAAGGGGAGCAGCCTTGGGGCCTGGTTCTCATTTTCTTGCCCAGAGCCTGAGCCTTTGTGGGAAACTTCTGAAGGTTATTAAACACCCGGAGGTCGTTAAATGCGCTGTTAACGAGGTATTAATCAACACCCCTCAGGAAAAAATAAAAAGACACCATTAACCCCCCCGGGAAGCACGAGGCCGAGCGTGTCAGGCCCATCTTTTGTTCGCTCTTTCGGGGAGAAGAAATATACTCTAGTACTGGCAGAATCTGGGCCCATCAGAGACCTGGGGCCCCTGGGATGCTGGGTGTGGGGGAAGGGAAGACCTTCGTGACCTCTGACCCTGGGCTCCAGAGGCATCTGTCACGTGAGGGAGTGTGTGAGGTGGGGTGGGGAGGCGTCACAGCAGATGGACAGAAAGCCCTGGCCTGCCAGGCCGCCCGGGGCGAGCAGAGCACGCGCTGGGAGGTGTGCAGCCGGATCTGCTGCCCTGGCATTTTCTACAGGCACCCGCAGGACGGGCTTTGGGCTGCTCTCAGGGACGGGGTGGGGGGGGGGAATAGGAGGGAGGGTGCCTGGGGGACGGATGGGGCACTCCAGCAACAGCCTCCGGCTCCTTGCCAGGTCCACCAACAGTCAAACGGTTTTGAAATTTTAAATCACTAAGAGGTATCCCAACAACACTATGCCCAGTTCCCATCCCTGGCCACCCTGGAGGTGCCACAGGAATAGGGGGAGACCCACCCCAAAGCAGCTCCTGAACTCACACTAATGGATCCCCACTTTTACTTCTCCCTGGCCCCCTGCCTCAGCTCTCTCTGCCTTCACAACCTGTGTGCCCAAGGGCGACCGACCCCAGCCAGCCCCAGCCAGGCCCGGCGCTGGTGTGGTGAGGGAGGAAGGGGTAAAGGGTCCAACCGCAGCTTTTTTTTTTGGCGCCTTCAGAACTGGCCCTGGGCCCCCTCCTGTGGTGTGTGGGGGACGGGCTAGGTGCCTGTCAGAGGGCTTGGGTGGGGCTGATGAGGGAGAAGACCCTTCAGGGACAGAAAAGCACACGAAACATCAAACCTGTCCTCAGGGAGAGGTGCTCGTGTAGATTAACCAACACCCAGCCTCCTGGTAAGTCTCTCAGAACCGCCCCCTCGAATCTGGCTGACACCCCAGGGTTTCCAAAAAGTTCCCAAGAGCCCCTGGGAAGCGAAGAGAGCAAGATCCTCCCAGTTAGGACGGCCACGTAACCAGCCGCTCACGGCCTGAAGCTCCAGACACAGTGGCCGCCGCACAGCCAGGCAGAACCACACACAACTGCGGGCCCTGGCCACAGCCTCCTGCCACCAGCTCAGGGCCCAGGTTCCTGAGCAGGGTTGTTGTGGGGTAGCGGGGGAACCCAAGGCAGACGGGGGGCCAGCAGGGTATCAACAGCTCTCTGGCCTACCTCTCCTACTCTGTAGGGCCCACCACCTTCCTGGCCTGGGTCCCATCCCACTCCCAAGCAAAGCAAGGAGAGACTCCTGGGTTCACAGCCCGATCGGCTGGGCACAGAAAGGTTCACAGGAGTGCACCGGGACCTGGGGCAGGTGAGCAAGATTCACTCCCTGGGGAAGCTACACACATCCTGAGTTTACCAGGCCAAGAGCAGCTGCAGATTCTGCTCTCGGCCCGCTCAACCGCTCAGTCATGTGCAGAGCGAATGGTGTGTGGGCTCCTGGGGCAGATTCCAGGACAGAGACCTGGGAAGTGGGAAGCGGGGTGTGTGAGGGCAGTGCTAGGTTTATGAGAGGCCTGCTCTAAGTCTAGCTTGGACGGGACAGGGGATCTCTCCGGCCTGTTCCCTAGTGAACACAAGAGGCAGAGTTCCACTTAGTGGGAAGCTGGGTATGCGGTCTGCTCCACCTTCCACATGGTATGACAGTGACCTAAGACCCCCAGGCATCCCTCAGTGGCTCCAGTGGACCCGCTTTAAGGACGGGGGAAGCCCAGGGTCATTTCTGTGAAAGGCTGTGCGTTTTCTGGCTGACTCCCCTAACCTCCTTCCAGGGGCTTCTGGGTGGGGCAGTGGGTAGTGGCGGTGGGGGACTCTGGGAATGAAGCTCCACATATGGTCTCTTTCTAGCCTGTCCCTGTTCAGCCTCATCCCCGAAGCCAGACAAGTTGCTGGAGGTGGAATTCAAATGCTACCAAGAAGGGGGACCCTCTCACTCCGGCAGAATTCTGCACAGGGCAAGAGATGACCTCTCCTCTTCAGTGGCTTGGCTTGGGGTCATTTTGGCTTCAGGCATCATCCCTGGTGTGCAGCACCCTAACTCCAAACAGGAGAGGGGTCCTATACCCTAACAGGCTAACCCAGCCCTCCGAGTTTTTGGACCCTGGATTCTGGCCTCCGTGGCTAAGGGAAGTGTGGAAGCTGAGAGACGCAGGAGGTGCCGGGGAAACGGAGGCCCACCCAGGAGCGAGAGGCAGGGTGGTGCAGTGGCAAGCGCCAGGTTCTGTGCCTGCTTTAACCCCCGGCATCGCTGCGCTCGGCTTCTCTCTCAGACCAGGGCGTCCTCTCCCGGCCAGGGCGGCCAGCACCACCCGCACCCGCCTCGTACCTGCAGCACGTTGGGGTGCCGCAGCCGCTCCAGCAGCACCATCTCCTTGAGCAGCTTGTGGGCCGCCAGCCGATAGCAGCCCCTCCGCGCCCCGAACTCGCGCACGCAGCTGCCCAGGTCGTGGCCGCTGAAGTCCACAGCCTTGAGCGCCACCGCGGCGCCGCCGGGCAGGCGGACCCGGTACACGGCCTTGGTGTATCCGGAGCCCACGTACTGCGCGCCAGACACGTTGCGGAGCGCGGCGCAGCCCAAGCGCGGGCCCGGGCCAGGGGAGCCCGGGCCGGGAGCCGGGGGCCAGCCCGGAGCGCCGTCGGGCAGGGGCCGGGCCCGCGGGGGCCGGGGGCGCTGCAGGCCCGGCCCGCCCGGAGCCAGGTCCATCAGGCGCCGGCGCTCCGGCCGGCCTGCCCCGGGCCCGGGTCCCCCGCGGGAATAGCGCTGCACCTCCTCGTAGCGCGCCCGGATCTGCCGGGCCAGCTCCCCACGGCCCCCGCGACGTCCCGGGCCCGGGGCTGGCGAGGGCCCATGGGATTGGCCTGGCCGCGGAGGCTCCGAGCCCGGTGCGAAGAGCACGTTGAGGACCGAGCCCAGCAGGAAGGAGGCGCAGAAACCCGCGGCCACGGCCGCCCGCCGGCGCCGCATCGCTCCCCTCCCCCCGGCCGGCCGCCCGCGCGGCTCCCCGGCCCCGGCCCCGGGCGCCTCAGGCTCGGAGGCGGCTCTGCTGCGCGCCCCGCCGGCCCCCTGCCCAGCCCGCGCGCATGGCCCCGGCGGCCCCGACCCCGGCCCCTCGCGGGCGGCACATCGGCCTGACACTTGCCTCCCTCGCGCCCTGCCCCCGCCGCTTATAAGGCCCGGGGCCGCCCCCGCGCCCGCCCCCTCCGCCTCCGCCTCCCGGCTCCCGGCCCGAGCCCGTCCTCGGCGCCGCCCCCTCCGGCCGCCCGGCCCGGCCTTCCCCGCTGACTGACAGCGGGACCTCCTCCCGCGGCCGGCCGGGCCTGGGAAGCGACGCGGAGGCGGCTCTGGCCCTGCCCAGCGCGCGGCCCCCCGAGCTCGGGCAGGGGAGCGGGGGAGGGGGCGGCGGCGGCGGCGCGCAGGGGCGCCGGGCCCAAAGCGAGGCGGATAACGGGGCGGCCGGATAACGGGACGGGGAGGCGGATAGCGGAGCTGGCCGGACGGGGTGGGGGGAAGAGAAAGGGGCGAGGCCGGCGGGTAACGGGCTCTGGAGGGGACGCGCAGCCGGCGCGCGGGGCGGGCTCCCTCCGTGGGAGCCGAGGACTGGGCGCGGGGAGGCGCGTGGGGCCCGCCGCTCGGGGGTGGAGCTGGGGCGGACGCGTCTTGCCCGTCGCGGGGTTCGGGGTTGCGGGGAGCGGGAAGGCGGTGTCGGGAAGTGGGCATCTGCGAGCGCGCGTGGGACAGGAATTCTGAGCTCAGAGGACGCATCGTGAAGTTTTCGGAGTTGCCCTGTTCACCACCCCGTTTCTACCGAGTCTTTCTGATTTCTGGGTTTCCTTGACCCAGAAGCCCCACATCTAGCCCGAGGTGCGCCCCCTACCCCTGGGGTCCCCCAGGTCGGCCGGGGCAGCCACGGGTCGCGCTGGTGCTTGCGGGGCGTGCCTGGGTATCCAAGGGAGGGAGTGTGCGCCCTGGGAGCCGATGCTGACTCCACCAGAACTGCCGACCCCTCCCCCTCCCTCCCTGATTGCATCATTAGTGCTAATTGAGGGGCTTTCACACGCCGGTGCATTAGCTGTTTGCAGTGAGCTCCCGCGCCCGGGAGAGAAGCCGCCGCCCTCCCCCTCTCGCGGCTCTGCTACTCCCCCTCCCATTCGCCCTTCCCCTCCCCCGACACTGGCCACCGAGGTCCTCCTCTCTCCTTCCTGCCTCCCTCTGGGCCGGTGTTCTCGCCTCCCGAGAGTGTCAGCGACTGGCTAGGGAGCAGAAGGATCCAGAGTGTCGTGTCTGGGGGAGTGGTGGGGGTGTCCAGGCAGGGGCGATTGTCCCTGAAGATATCTGGTGTTCCTACAGGATGCAAGGTGTCTGTGATGAGAAAGTGCACTGGAATTGCGACCCTGTTCTCTGGCCCAGGAGAGGGCTGAGCCCTGTAAGTCCGGCCTGTGATGCTCCCGAGGTAGGGCTGAGCCCTGACTCCAGGGCCCCCTAACGCTGGGACAGCTGGGGCCCAGTCTAGTGGAACAGGCATGGGAAAGGCAGGGTGAAGGCAGCCAGGATTCCCCTGAGGATTCTGGAGTTTGGAGAGTCTGGTCTGTTCCCATTTAGCTTCTCTGCCCTGCCTGGCCCAGGCTACGTGTGTGTGTGAGTGTGTGTGTGTATGAGTGTGTATGTGTCTGTATGTGTACATGTATAAGTGTGTATGTGTATGTGTGCATATATATGTGTATGTTGGTGTGTGTGTGTGTGTGTGTGTGTTGGGGGGGGAGGCTAAGCACAGATGCCCTCCCCAGCCCTCACACCAGATGTCTTGGGTCTAATTAGCTGTGCTGGGAAAACCAACCTGGGTTTGTAAACAGAGCTACTGGCTAAAGTCAACAGGGAACAGCAGCAAACAGCAAACATTCCCCTCACACTCAGCCTCAGTCCAATTCCGCCCCCTGGGGAAGAGGGTAGCTGGGTGGATCAGGAGGCCCCCCGCCCGCTGTGGAGCGGGGGAAAGCCTGTCTGTCTCCCTGACCCCTGTGTGGCTGCCATTTCCTTCCCAGCTGCTGGACCTCCTCCACTGGGCAGGATCCGGGAGACTGGGAAAAGCAGTTGCCATTCCAAGATAGGCTCTGGCCCCTTTCCAGAAATTTCCCCACAGACACGTCCCCAGCTGAGCCGTCCATGAGGAAGCCGTGGGGGGGACTGTTCCGTGCAGAGTTTTCTTTGGGGCTTGCTCTGCCCTGGTGTCTTGGGAAGCGTCTAAGGGTAACACTTGGCATTGCTGGCCTGCAGCTTGGAGCGGGTGAACAGAACGAGAACATTGTTAAGTTCATTACACATCATGTAGGTATTATAATAACATGTTCTGAAATTAGGTAATTATTCCTGTGATATCTCTGCCAAGCTTTGGTGTTTCTGTTATGGTCTGAAAGTTCAGTGCTCACCAATGTCTGAGAAGCAGGCACAAGTGTTCACACACACACACACACACACACACACACGCCCGCCAGGTGGTACACGACTTTTCCAGCATCTCAGTTGCCAACCCGCTTTGGCGCAGGCAGGCATACACACTCTGAGATGGAAGTAGGGTCTTGGCTTCTGAAACAGCAGGACGGCGCTTTGTGAACAGAACAGCTGAGAGTTTTTGAATTGGTAGTTCTTGAGTTCTTAACCAAATTCTACTTGTTTGCCTGTGTGTGTGTGTGTGTGTGTGTGTGCGCGCGCACACACACCACCCAAGGAGAAGAATCATTTTAAGTAATTGAAAGGCATGGAAGGCTGCTAAGGCCCTGGTCTACACCTGCCTACCCACTGGGAGAGCAGCCTGAGCCTGTTGGGGTGGAGCCTTCTGTGCTGTCCTCCCCTGTCGCCCTCTCACCTGGAGCTCCCTGCAGCTCTCAGACCAGAGTGCGAAGGCTCAGGGCCTCCCTATGTTTCCTTGCTCTCCCCGTCTTCCTAGCACACCCCCACTCCACACACAACACTGACTTGGAGACCAGTCCCTGAGATGGAGGCAGACACAGCGCCCACCCCAGAGCACTGACCGTCTTTGGAAACACCTTCTTCCCGCAGTTTTGTCAGGTTGTCATGGGCTGGCTGCATTGTAATACTAACCTTCCAGAAGCCTTTTAATTAAAAAAAAAAAAGCTATTAATTTTTTTACTTATTTGAAAGGCATAAAGAAGGAAAGACAGAGAGAAAAAGAGAGAAGCTTCCATCCATACTGATTCCCTCCCAGATGCCCTCACAGCCAAGGCTGGGCCAGGCCAGAGCCAGGAGCTTGGAACTCCATCCAGTCTCCCGATGGGTGTCAGGGACCCAAGTACTTGAGCCTTCACCTACTGCTTTCAAGGGTGCCCATTAACAGGAAGCTGGATGGGAGGCAGAGTTTGGACTTGAACCCAGGCACCCTGATATGGGATCACTAATATCCTAAATGGCTTTATTTTATTTTATTTGAGAGGAAGAGTTACAGACAGAGAGGGAGAGAGGCAGAGAGAGATCTCCCATCTGCTGGTTCACTCCCCAAATGGTTGCAATGGCCAGAGCTGAGCTGATCCAAAGCCAGGAGCCAGGAGCTTCTTCCAGGTCTCCCACAGGGCCGTGCACTTGGGTCATCTTCCACTGCTTTCCCAGGCCATTCAGCAGGAAACTGGATTGGAAACAGAGCAGCAGGGGCTCAAACTGGCACCCATATGGGATGCTGGCACTGCAGGCGGAGGCTTAACCTACTACACCATAAAGCTGCCCACGCCTTCTTTATTGTCTCCTTTCCCCTCTTTCAGGTCTTGGGCACCCCTTTTAGAGAGTTACTTTCCTATTCAAAAACTCAGAGAATAAACTGAACTGGCCCCTGTGAGCTGACCTTAGTCCTCCACACAGCCCTGTAGGCTTTTTGTTTCCCTGCAGTGAGTCGCGCCAGCCTGGTTGGTGCCCGTGCTGGCTCCCGACCTGCAGCCCTCACCTGCACTCTCTGGGCGGTGCCTTCTCTCCCAGCTCCTCCTTCCTGAAGTGTTCTCTTCCAACCTTCCCCCCTCATCTTCTTCAAGTTCTCCTGGGAGTGAGTTAGTTGGAGCCAGTGCTTGTGCAATGCAGGGACAGGGCTCCTTGGGCTCCTTGAGGGTTGTATTTTTGGGACTCCATGGATTTGTTTCCTTTAAAGGAAGTGTAACAAAATACATTTCTCAGGTCTTGGAAAACTTGATGTAAAGAGCTTGGGACAATCAGAGATTTAGCCTCATTAGCTGAGATATGTTGGGTAAGTTAATTAACCTCTCTGTGTTGACTCTCCTATTAAGGAAATGGAGAATAATAATAATATCTTCCACATAAAGTAGAAGAAATGCAAAAACATAAAGTTTCTGGCACAGGGTAAGCCCTCAGTATATGTACTGAGTATATGTTTTTAGTGTTAATATTAAACAAATAAATGTCTGTGACAACAGGGTGGGCTATAACTGCCTAGAGGCAGAAATGACTTTAATTGTTTTCCATCCTGGTTCCCATTGGTGAAAACTCAGCCTTCTGGGCTCTCTCTGTGCCTGGAATTCTCACTTTTTCCCAAATCAGCAAGCCAGTAATCCATCAGCAGGAGCCTGGTCGTCTCCCCCACACCATGGTGAGCTGCAGACAGAAGACCATGAATCTTGGTCTGTGCTCAGTCTCCTGATGCCACGGTGACCCAGAGCAGGGTGGCCTTGGCTCTGTCCTCCCTGGGGCAAGGTGCTGGGGGAAGGGGTTGATTCCAAAAAAGAGGAGGAGGAAGGGGTGGAGCCAGGCAGCCTGCTCCTCCACCCCCACCTCCCCCAGGTAGGAAGTGAAGCTGACGTTTTCCAAAATATAAAAAACAGATGATGAAGGTCAGGTTTCCTACACACTGGAGAGCGGGAGCCCCAAGGCAGAGTCCCCAAGAAATTATCTGAGACAGAGACGGGGAGGGGGTGGGGTAGCACAGAGATAGACAAAGATGTAGAAACGTGAAGAGACAAAAACCCCGAATCTGGAGAAAGGCAATCAGAGAGCGCTGTGGCTCAGGAGAGCTCCTTCCAGTCATTTCTGGAAAAGAGCTTAGTTCCCCTCTGCGGTCTCAGAGAGGGAACCTGAGCCATTTGGGCTCCAGGACT